TTACAGTGAAACCTCACAATAACTGAATGAAACTGAGAATTTCTTCCTTGTGCCTGCAGGAGGGTGCAACCTCCCCCTGTTTGATTGCTTGACAAGGGCACAAGCCCTTTAGCCACTGAGCTGAGGCTGGCACCAAAGTAAAGCACAAAGTCCATCTCCACAGGATGTGCTTGGCACTGCTGGGAAGCTGGTGGTACCCCAGCCTGCCTTTGCAGCTCAGACAGCTGGCACAGGTCCCTCATGTCTCACTACTTGTCCTAAAAACATGATGCACCCACACAGCAAAAGCCAGATCTGCTCCTCACTGCCTTTTCTAGCATCTTCTGGGCCTTTTATATAGGTGAGCTGCAGATCATGGCATAAGCAGAAATCCCCCCTGCTCCACAAGGGCAAATGCCCCAGGGTTGTGGGAAGGAGGGAGGGGGTTCTCCTGCTAGTTGTTAACCTTCTGTAGGCCAGCTCATGCAGGCTGCAAGCCAGCTGAGGGCTCTGAACACACAGACAACAGCAGAAGTCAAGGCTTAAAGATCATCTGCTAAAGACTTTTTGCTGACTTTTCTATAGCGTGAGGGTTTGTTTTGAGTCTGTAAGCAGGAAGAAGACGGGGACCAGTTACTTCCCCTGTCCTCATGTTCAGCTGGCCCCTCAGTTATCAGATCAGGAGATAATGCTCGCTTCTGGAGAGCACTGTTTACAGCCACAGTCTTAAGAGAGTCCACCAGTGCTACCACAGCCTCGAGAGAGCAGCGCTGGCAGGAAGGCAGATAGCTAAGGGAAGCAGTTTGTCTGCCTCTGATAGACAGTGATGGAGTTTTAGAATAGGGACCAGAAAATGTATGCTGTCTTCCTGTGAGTCTCTGGGTGAGCTCACTGATGCTTGCACCCAAAGTAGCTAATTCTGAAAGATTTGCATGGAAATCAGGCACTAAATAAATACATCTGTGAACTGCAGCCCAAGTCTCAAAGTGCTGTGTTTGTTTTTTTCCTGTGAAATGGAAGCACTAGTATTCCCTTTCTCCCATTCTTTTCCATTAAGCTATAAAACTCCCAAAGCAGTGCCAGCTTTTTGCTGTGTATTCACGCCACAAAGGGGCTCCGTTTACAGCCAGTGCTGTAATTGCAGCAGCTGTGTGGGAAGCTCTGGACTGTGCTCTCTGAAGCTCTTCCCACATGAAGGTACAACACGCAGACTCCGTGGGGTCAGCCTGTCTAGGTGCCGTGGTGTCCCAGACTTGCCAGTCCATCTACCCACACCCCAAAAGACTCTGTTTACCTCACTCCACTGCAGACGTTTGTCTCTCAGCCTGCCTCTACATGTCAGAGAACGTATCACTTTGACCTCAATGAGCTAGCCCCAGGTGTGCTATATTCCTTTTGTATCATTAATACTTGTGTTGTCCTTAAAAAGGGCTAGCTGGTGATAGCACAGTGGATGAGATGAGGAGAGGAGTTAAGGCTCCTTTTTGTCATAAGGTTGGTTGACGCTTCTGGCTGCAGTCACACCAAACACTTACAGGCTTTTAACCTCCAAGGTCCTTGATGTTGATCAGTTTTCATCCATATCCAGCAGAAGCACCTGGAGGTTATGGCTCAGCATGCTCCCTTTAAGTACTTTATACACCACAAATTGCGGCAAAAGTCCTCCCACCGTACTGTTCACCATCTATGAAATGCTCTGAGCTGCTCTCACCTGTTTTGTGGCTAAAAGAGCCAAACACAGGCTGCCCAGGTGCTCTGTGTCTTCTTGCTCACCAGTTCTTTCACCCAGTGAGTGTAGCCACACCGGGGCAAGCCTGAGGGTGATAGATTAAGCACTGGAAGAAGTGGGTTAAAAGGTCTTTGGACGTAGGCACACCTATTTTACTAAGGGGCCATGCAAGGGCAATCGGCTAAAGCCATCGCTAACTGTGAAGAGGTGCCTACAGAAGCTAAATTTCCTTTTGTGAGCTAAAGAAATCACAGGGGAACAAAGAGCAAACACCATCAAGTCAATCTTGAACCCAAAGTCGCAGCTCCAGAAAGGGGAGCGGCTAATCAGGCAGAAAATAAATAGGAGGGGTGAGCATACAGAAACCACAGAAGCCAGCCTGGACTAGAAATATTTACAGTGCAGGGCGGGAAGGAATATCACTGCTCTGCCCAGAGCACACAGCTAGTGACCATTGACCAGAGACCATTGGCCTTTGGAAGGTCACGCTCGCTTCACCAACTGTAACTCTCCCAGTTGCCACGAGAGGACACCAAATTCCTGCGTTTTCACTCCGGAACACGAGGGATATCCGGACCTTTCGGCTGGAATGAGGGAAAAATGTCATAGCAATGGAGCTGTAGCCCCAGTCCTTAGGAGGGGAAGGTCAGGCCGGGGGGATTCGTGATGAACCTGTGGTGGTCCAGGTGTACCATCACACAACAGTAGCTCCATCTCCTTACAGGCAGAAGCCGATGTCAAGCTTGCGTGTTTTCAGTGACTGCACGCTTTGAAGATCAGTAATAATACAAAAAATATTAGTGACTCAAAGCAAACGCTAGATGACTGGAGACCAAAAGCCACTGCCAGCTGAACAGATGCTCTTATTCCATATCTCCAGTGGAAGAGCCTTCCAAAATCCACAGCTTTGCCAAGCTTCATCCTGACATTTCAGCTGAATGGTGCAAGAATGCCATCGAGTGCTAGAGGCCTTTGTTTTTAAGATGGAAAGGCTGGGCTCTGGAACCGGCTATGGGTGCAGGCATGGGCCTGTGCATAGGATTTTCTGAACAATTAATCTGCATGTTATTATTTCAAGTGATCTCAATAAATTGCAAAAGCTGCTCAGAATCAACTGGATAAAATTCAATAAAAACACAGCAGAGTACTATGATTGGGAATGAGAAATTAAGTGCACAAATGAATGACTTGGAATAATTGGTTAAGCAGCAGTACTACACAAAAGGATCTGGAGGAATTAGAGTGGATCATGTAATGAGTCAACTGAATGCTGCTGTTGCAACAAAAAAAAACAAACCTTTCTTTTGGGATATGTTAATGGAGTGTCATAAGTGTGTCACAGAAGGTCATTACTACTCTTTACCCCACAAGAGCGCTCACTGATGCTAGACCTTGTGCCAGATTTGGGGCACCAGCGCAGCGTTTTCAGGAAGATGGAGTTCAGAGCAGCCCAGCCAGCCCAACAATAAGCTTAAGAAACACTGAGGAGAGAGAGCTGCAGGGACTCAGGGAGCCTTTTCCAGGAGAAAAGAGGAGAGTTATGGTGGCTGCCCTGAAAACAGGGGCCTGTTCTAGCCAGCAGCAATTACTATCATGCATTAGTTTTCCCTGGCAGAGGAAAGATGCTCAGAGGGGTCCCAGGTCAGTGTGGAACAACGACACCAAACCCATGGCTAGTTTGGGTGTCATCTCAACAGGCATCTCCGCTCTTACCTAAGAGGGAAGGCATGCAGATGGGTGTTGGGAGGGGCCACCAGTTTTGATGTGACTGTCATTGACAACCTGGAAACTTGCTTTCAGTTGAGGAATGGTCGTTTTAACACAACAAAGTGGCACGCCCAGGAGTGCATACACAGACCACACCTACCGGAGCCAGCTTCCACAGGGCTGTTTGTACAGCAAGCAGAGGAAAAAATAAAGATTGGAGATGGAACTTCCTTTTTGCCCATTCCTACCCCAGGTCAACGTGACCTTACGAGTACCGTGGTAAGGCTGTCCATGTATTACTGCTTTCTGCAGCTCCTGGGGACCTTCATAGTCTGGCTAGCCTCACAGCTGCTGGTAGACTCCCACCCCTTCGACCTGGTCTCCACCAAGCACCTAAACAAATTTGGGTATATCCCCATTCAGTGAAGGCCTTAAGCACATGCTTAAATTTAAGCATGAGCTGCCAAAGAAGTACGCGTTCAACAACTTCTGCAAACAAGGCCTTAACCTTTAAAAAGATGATAGAAAAAAAAACCCTAGCTAGGTTCAAACACTTTCCTCAGACTCCTTCAGGTTGAATCTACCACCTCTCTGACACTGAAATAGAGGCCTTGCATAAGAAGACTCTCTTGCTTCCTCCGTGCTGTAACTCATCAACCCTTCCCTGCTCCGGGGCACGTACCTCTAGGGACAGATGAGATCTGTTCCTGTTTGTTACTATGCAGAGCTAGATCTCAGCAGCAGTGATAAAGGCCCTTGCACATCCTAGCTTGCTTTCTGATACTTCCCTTTTCTCTGGAATTCATACTCCTCACCCGCCCTCGCTCCCTTCCCCCTTCCCTGTTTGCTCATACTTCTGGAAAGATGACTGAAGGTAACTAATGAGTAAGATGCTGCTGCACGTCATCGCCTGTCTGCTGCAAGAAGGGGTGAACAAGTTCGTTTGTCCACAGGTTAAAGTGAGGTTGCCATCCAAACAAGGATCATGTAATTGGGAGACCAAGCAGTGGGAAACCTGCCCTCTCTCCTCTCTCGTCTGGAGTGTTTAATTTCTCTTGTTTTCTTCATTGCGTACACCACTTTATGCCTGCACAGCATCTTTCAAGCAAGGATCTCAAAAGGCTTCACAGACCTTAATTAAACCTCATAAATCCCTAATTGATAGATGAAAATTCTGAGTCACAAAAAGGTGAAGTGATGCTCATGGTGAAACAGTGAGTCAGTTGCAGAGCGTGGAGCAGGGCTGTGGTGATCCCAGTCTAGTACTCGGCATCTTTACAGAAGACACAGATCTCCTTGGAAGGCGAGTTCACCAGCTGCCTGACGGAGCTCCAGTGGCTGTTGAATCACTGGTGGGGAACAAGCGTTGATGGCATTTGGTGCTGTGGTACCCAGAACTGGCTACGAGTGGAGGCCAGGCTGCAGGAGTACCCTATAACCTGGGAAGAGCCCCAGCCATGCCGCTCCCCCACCGGCTGCAACCCCAAAGCCTGCCTGGGGCTCGGTACTTGGTTAATGGCCAATCCCAAACCCCCCAGATGGCAGCCACGGGACAAGACCAGCCCTTTCACCATCCCAAACCAACATCCTGGCAGCGGGAGGGTCTTCATGCCATGATAAATGCCTGTAGGAGCAATGTCAGAGCTCCGGGCTGGCACAGGGACCACCATGGACCAGAGCCAGCTCCTGGCTGTTGGGTGGCCCTGGGCAAGTCCCTTTTCTCCCGTGTTTCCCTCCCCAGCCTTTGTTTTCACACCGGAACATGTAGGCTCAGCAGGGCAGGGACTCTCCCGCCTGGGCGTTTGCACGGAGCAGCCCTGGCCATGCCCGGCCATGCTGTCGGGACAGCAGAGCCCTGCCCAGCCCTGCCGCCCATCCCGCCTCGGAGCCGGGCAGCTGGGCCCTCTCGGTGGACATCGTCACAGTCTGCTTTCCAATTATAGCATTTCAGGGCTGCGACCGTGTTTAATTGTCTGAGCTTTATAAACACTCAATGGCCTTGGCTGACGCCCGAGTTAATGATCCCCTGCAGAAGCGACTTTGGCCGCCCGGCTCCCAGCCGGCCCTCGCCACGCCTGGCAGAAAGGGTCAATTAAAAAAAGACAGGAGAGGATAAAAACGTAGAAAGGAGCCTTAAGAGATGATGGTGCACCTGAGGAAATGACACATAACCCCCTCCTGTCTGTGCGCTGAGCTGGGCTTTCCTGAAGGCAGCGCCTCTGCTCCTCAAGCCCACCTGCCTGCAGTGGAGCATCCCTTCCCACCATCCCAGTGACTGCCCGGGTAGAGGACCTGTAGCAGGACAAGCAGTTCGATTCACCTACTGTGTCAAACCTATGTCTTTTGCCTTTGGGTTTTCCCCCCTGTTAATATCCACAAAGAAAAAAAACCCAACACAACCCACCTCAAAAATGCAAACAGCATGAAAAACCCCACAAGAGTGAATAGCCAAGGCTTTTATGTTAATGAGAGAGCCGCTGACAGCATCAAAACAAAGGATAAATCTCTGGGTCAAATTTGCAAGTGATGTAAATAAGCCTATTGGGTTTCAGTGAGGAAGAGCACCGACTTTCATAGAGTATGCATATACGTACATACGCTCCCTTCTGCTAAATCACCCCAGCTCAGTGGCACAGGGGACAGCGGGAGCACATGACACTTGGGTATAATTTGTCCATACGCACCTCTAAAGCTCAGCATTTCTATTTCAAAAGAACAAAAACCCAAAAGGGGCAAGCGCACAGCTGCAAGGCGGCCTGCGTAATTGTGCAATGCTGGGAACTCTTAGGTAGTTAATAATTATACTCAACCTTCGGTCTAGTTCCTAACAACACCCCTAGGCGTGTCGCTCTTACAGAATAAGGGCACACGCCCTGCTGTGTCTCCTTGCTTAACAGGAACACAAAGTACAGTAGTAGGAGGTGTTTCCTTGAACTCTGAACAATTGGACATTTAAGGATTAATTACTGTTAAGGAGCTTTGGACTGGCAAACACACTAACTCAGCTCTTGGCTGCGTCTCCCAGCCAAGTTCTCTCAGTCATCCTAATTAGACATTCTGATACCATCTTTAATTATATGATCTCACATGCTATTTTTTTTTTACTTCTTCTTTTCTTTTTCCCGTCTTACACTGAACCCCTGTCTCGTGCAGCACACAGAGCAGGCAGAGCATGGAGGGAGAACTGCAGCTCGCAATCACTCCCCCGACTCACTCAGTGCAGCAGCAAGACCATGAACCACTGAGACCCAATGCGGCTGGGACCTTAGCTCCCCGTGCTGCTGAAAACACCCTGTGTCTTTCACAAGAGAGAGGAAAGCATCGAGCCTGTCACGGCTCCCTCTCTGCTGTGGGCAAGACAGGACCTATACTGTATTTGTCAGTATTGACTGCAGCCCGGCTGGAATAATCCTGCGCCGAGCAGCATCCCGCGCCAGCCGCAGTGAGTGCGTGTGTGCTCACATGTATATACACACACGCTCTCCTGTACGCACCTTGATCTTGTTGAAACAACAGGAGGAGCATAGTGCATGTTGTTAATGTTTTTCACCTTTGTAAACACTTCATTGCTGGGGCGACACTCCTGCGCCCCGACTTGCAGCACCCAGTGGTGCTGAGAGCCTGGCACCCTCCCATCCTCCTCGCTCCAGTGCCTGCCAAAAGCTGCTTCACATTCAAGCCGGTCCTGTGGGTCTGCAACATCCTTCCCAGGATGGGACCTGGCTGCATCCAAGAGTCACCTGGGTGAAATCAGCTTTGCTTCTGCGTGGTGCCATGTGCTACCCACCCTCCCACAGCTCCCCCGTTCGCCCAGATGCAAGGAGGGAAGTTTTGGGTGGTGTGCTTTCAGCTGAAACGCTGCTCTGATGAGCTGGAAACTCAGTATACCCCGAGGTCAGCTGAGGTTCACTAAGCTGAGGAACTCCTTAAATGGTATAGTCTAAAAAGCCATCTGCATTCGTCTTCACGAGCAGCACGGGGATGAATGCGTGCATTCCCACCGGGACCCTTTTCTAAATGCTGGACCCCAAAACCTTGTGTGAATGGGGGGGCAAGGAGGCAGCTGCAGCCTTCCTGCTTTCCCCAGCGCCAGCCTGCTCCTTGGAAATGGCTCCAAGATCCACCCCTGCCTCTACCTGCCAGCAGAACTGGTTGGCCTCCATTGGGAGGCTGCGTGGCACCCGTGCTCACACCACATCCTGGGACTGGCGACCAGGCACTTGTCCCAGCAGGTACCCCTCTAGGGTCTTAGCCTGTGGGCATAAGCACCACGGAGCGCTTCCTTACCCCTTCCAAAGTCAGGGCAAAGGAGGACCAGGCTGTCCCAGGCAGGCAGCGGTGCCCCACACAGGGAGGAGCCTTCTCCTCCCAGCTCCGCGGCGTTCCTCCCTGATGCAGAGTCAACATAATGGGGCTGAGCTGGCGCCATTGATCCTGCTGGGCTGGCGGAGCAGCTGTGCAGTAGGGATTAGCAGTGGTTTTCTTCCCTGTGGCACCGGGTCACAGGATTCAGCCCCCTGTGGTGGAAACAATCTTCCTCCTTCCCCACTACCAGAAATGTGCCTGTGGAGCAGGCAGTGGTCCTGAGGAGCAGAGCTATGGCAGCAGCTACACACGGAAATTAGGAGTTGGAGCCAAGTGAGAAGAGAAAAACAAAACAGGGACCAGACCGACAACATGGGTGGATAATAGACCTGTCCTGCCAAGCACACTCTTAAGAGCCATTGCCCGGGAAGGTCCTTCTTCCAGCCCCCTAGGACTGTCAGGTCCATACAGCCAGGGACTTCCTACAGCCAAGCTGTGTCTTGGAGGACCTTGAATTACCAAGAGCAGCTCTCGCTGTGGGGCAGCCACACCACAACCTTGCCCTTTGCCCCTGCCTAGGGAAGGCGTATGAGGGACTGTGGCTCCAGCAAGATCCCACCTCCAGCAGGATGACACGAGCAGAGGGAAGGAAGAGCCTTGCTCCACAATGAGTACACATCCCAGCTGCAGGTGCTGACAGAAAAGCATGCACAAGGTCATGGGAAGCACCTGAAGGTGGTGTTTTGAAGGCATCACTCTCCTTTCCTATTCCCTCCCTTTCACCACAGACAGTGTCACGGCAGATCTTCATTTCCTAAGCTGCCAGAAGTAGAGAAGGTAATTAGATACCAGTATGGCCTCAGAACATTGCTCAGAGTAGAGATTTAATCACTGTCCTTGTGGCTCATAAAGACAAAGTTCAATTGGAGGCTACAAAAGGCAGCTAATGTCTCCCATCACCCCCATGACCTATAGCAGCCCTCTAAGTCAGCATCAGCCTAGAACGAAGGCTACAGTGACTGACTGCTGCTGTGTGAGGCTCTGGTGCTGCTCACTGCTGGTGCTGACACCCTGCCCTAAGCCCCGGCTGTGAGGGGTCGGAGCAGGGCTGTGCCTGGCTAGAGCACAGGGAGATCTTAGGTGTGTAAGGATCATGAGCTCATCTTTCCACCTATATTACTGCAGACATCCATGGGCCTCTGGCATGTAACTTTTCTTTCAAGCCCACAGGCTGGTGTCTGCTGCTCTACTCTCATTAACACAAGATAAACAGTTTCAAAACCAAGTGCATTTCAGAGCAGTATTATGATGTAAGCAAGTGAAATAGGAATTAGGTGAATTAGAGCATCCAGTGCTTGAACAACCTGAGCTACCCAAAGGAAAAGAACTGACCCATTTCTTCCCTTTGTCCCAAACCAACATCATCTTCTGCTGTGGCCACTCACATCAGTAATCACCAGCATGAGTGTGTGTCATCACTGGGAGCCTATGATGAATTTGCCTGAGTCTGGGAGCCCCAATGAGGGCTACAGAAAGGGGGTGGGGAGGTCACGGGGTGCATCTGTGCTCAGTTGATGGATTGTGCCTGACCCATGAGGCTCACCAGCCCTAGATCTGTATTTATCTTTCCAGGGAACTCGAAAAACAACTGCCTCAGAGAGGAAAAATGGTAGGAGAGCCTGCGAAAGGCAAGTGGGCAACAGTTCCTGGCACTGCCTGTGGATTTGCAGAGCTGTACAGTCATTTGTGGGATGCAGGCTCTAGATCATGGCCATGTAAGTCCTGTCTCCCTCTCTTCCCCCACACTAGTCTGTGGAATGGAGCATGCAAAATAAAAAGGGAAATCTGAGACTCGCACTGCGGCAGGCTGAACGGTTTACATTCTTGTCTGCCATGATATCCTCCTCCCAGCTTAGTCCTTATCTGCTTGACCTTGCATAGCCAGCATCAAAAAAGCTGATATTCAGTACAGAGGAATTCTGGAGTTCAAATGGGATAGGACTGCAAGGAGGAAAGAAATACGCTTGCAATATACTCCTTCTGGACTATGTGGAATCAAAAGCAGAAACACAGAGTGACTGAGGTTGGTAGGCACCAATGGAGAGTGTTTCATCCACCCCTCTGCTCAAGCAGGGTCAAAGGAGGCTGCTCAGAGCCATGCCAGTCAGGTTTTGAATGTCTCCTAGGATGGAGGCTCCACAGAGCTCCTTGGGTGACCTGTGCCAGTGTTTGACCACTGTGATTTTTGTGTCCTTTACTGCAAATTGTGGCCATTGCCCCTTATCCTGTCACTTGGGACTATTGGGAAGAGTCTGACAGCATCTCCCCTGCTCCCAGTCCGCATCAGGTATTTACACACCTTGGTAAGATGTTCTCTGAGCCTTCTTTTCTCAATCCCATCTCTCCCAACTTCTCCTCCCAGCCTTGCCCTGTGTTCATCAGGAAGAATCTTCCTGAGGTGTCTTGGATCTCCCTACACTGGAACACACACAAACCCCCTTCTTCTTAAACCTCAGCCTTATGAGGGAGT